GGAAGTTCGATCTACCGTTAAACGGGTACTTTTATCCTGTGACAGGGTATCGTCGATAATATCCATAGGGCTTCTAAACGAATAATTTAACCGCGTATACAGATGCATTACTGGAAGTAATAATACTTGTCTCTAGTTACTCACCGCTCGATAATCCTGCAAGTTTTCATTTGGATCGAGCGATTCGCGAATATCTCTCGTTAGTATAACTTTGTTAGAAACATAGCGGGAGATTAATAATATTGTAATGAACCGATGACCGAGGCACGGTGTGTGTAAACACGTATTCGGATGTGTAATGGTCGTTACATATACATGTGTAGATACGCACGCATTGTGCGTACCGTTTAATCTATCAACAAGCGGTGTAACAAGGACATATATGTACATACGTACCTACGCTATGAAGCAACAATTCGAGGTATATAATGCGTGAAGAACGCGATACAATCGAAGGGTACTTTGTCTTGTATTTATCTCAATCGGCGAGCGATTACACCGTTTATCGAAAAGAGTACAAACGTTATTCTTCGTCTTTAGACTAAGATGTCCTAATAAACGTTCGTTGGCAAACCGTCCCTTTTCGACACGCTACCACTTTAAGTTATTGCGTCGCTTCCGGTTGATTTCTAATTGTATCGCATACATTGTCCACGCGCCACTACAATTCACGAAGAATTCGAGCAGTGAGACGATCAGGCGAGCTTGTTGATACGGTTTCTTGGCATTCGTTCCAATAGTTTGTATGTCTGCTTCGAAATTGCTAAACTTAGGTCAGCTATAACATAAAGTGCCTGTGCCTTAAGAAAATAGAAGGTTTGCGAAGTCTTGTTTCCGCGAACACTGCGTAGATAGAAGCAACGACTAGGTCCTAGCGACTAAGCATGGTATTTTAAAGTTAAAGCAAAATAAAAACGGCAAGCAATCGAATCTCAAGTTCGAGAGACTGACGCGCGTTTCTTGTATGCACAGACGTCGTATGCCAGCACACTACCCCGAGTGTATAACGTGTCACATAAATACGTACGTATGTATCTACGCACGCGGATTCAAATACCGGTGATGCATGCGCGACGCCGACGCCGACGCCGACGCCGACGTCACGCCAACAACAGCGCGAACCGTAAGTGTCAAACTCTTCCCCGAGATATAAATACGCGATGGAGCCGATTGGCCGATTCGCGTGAAATCTCGATCGGTGTAAAGCGTAAAGATAAGATGGAAATTCACCTCGAACAAGATCCTGGTCAGAAGAACCAACACCTCGACCGGCAGGAACAGCTCGGAGCCTCTCGGCGCGCTTCTCCCGAAGAGACGAACGTGCACGCGTCAACAACGGGCAATTGACGCCTCGCGCGATATCCAGGTCGCGCGTCGAGGGTCGATCGATCGAAATCGGGGATAAACAGAGATCCCTCCCTCGTCCGTCGGAGAGGCAATCGAGCAGAGCGACCGGCACGCGACCAAACAACAAACCGTGTCCCGTTTTGTATATCCAGCGGTCAGCTTCCGGTTCCAACTTGACGGCTGCGTACCGATGTCATCGATCCACCCGTAAATCTCGCTCGATTTCGTTCGATCTCTGTCTCTGCGCGAGGATAGCCCGCGTATACGTATGTGCACGTATATACGCTTCTGTATATAATTGTATACGTATATATAAACGTATAAATAAACGTGCGTATGCGCGTATATAGAGCGACGGGGTGTGTATGATACGGCGTAACCGAAAAGTACCAAGTACAAGGCAACTGATACGTTTCTCTCACCGAACGATTCCCTGAAATTCACCTAGCCACGTTTCTTTCACGAACAAGCTTTCACACACTCGCGCCCACGTACACTACCAGCACGACGACGACGGCGACGACGACGACAGCGAGCGACGACGACGCGACGACGACGGCGGCGGTACCGAATAATAACAACAACAACAACGACAACAACAATGACGACGACGACGACGACGACGACGTTGACGAGCGCGAGGTCGGTGAGAGACTGGACGACGCGCGAGTCGCGACGGACGAGTCACCGTCCACGATGAGTCGAGTCGCTCTGACGAGAGAGGATCCTAGGGCCGACAGGCTACCCGAGCGGGGGTAGTGGCGCCGGGGCCTCGCGGTGGGGGTGAACGCGAGAGAGAACGATGTTAGGCGGCGGCACGTCGCCCGCGAGAGGGGCGGGGAGGACGGCGTCGGCGTCGCTTCTTCGCCGAGGGCGTGGTCCTGGTCGCTCTTCGGCCGCTTTCTTAGCGAGTCTCGAAGCAGAGGTCGGACCCGAAACTACCGTGTCCTCGAGCTTCGCGTACCGATGTTTTTCCTTTCCATCGTAAAAACTTATTTGTGTTTGTCAATTTCTCCGCAAAACATCGTAGGCCGAGTTTTTTTTTTTTTTAAATTGATCGTTACGACAGATTACGACGTATTTTTGTTTACGTCGTAATTTCAAAGGGGTTTCAACTCGATAGACATTGCTCGAGGCAAGTCGACTCCGTTTCTCAAATACTATTTCCTGTCGATTGTTGTAGAACTGTACATCGAACAATGTCATTCTTCGCCCCTTCGAAAGTACGCTATTTTTAAGCTTCTGAAACGGAACTTGTTTCGCGGTCGGGCCGACTTTGAAAGGGAAGCGGTAATCGCGTTACATCGAGGTCTCGAGATAAAGAAGAAATACCGATGATACTCAAAGGTTCTCGTTTGTCGGATTATTACCACTTCCCTTCGGAAAATCCCTACAGATAGAAATCGAGTAGTATTACTCGCGTTTCCGTTTACAGTGTCACTACACGGAATTCTTGTGCGAAACACTTGAAAAACTCGATTGCAATTGCTTTCGAGCTTGAACTTGGTTTATTTAAATACATAACTGTCACTTCAGTTATCGCACTGAATCCCCATACATCGTAATACAATTATTTCCATTCTTCTTAACATTACTTTGTCACAACTCCGTACATTACATTCGCATTAGTCTTGTGTTTGGTCCACATTTGTTGGTGCCTACTGGCCTCCTATAGCTCGGGTACCTCGGGGTTGCAAAGCCCGTACTGTAGCCACGCAACCAACCATAGCGATAGCCCCTGAGGGTGCAAGCGTTTTCAAAAGAAAATTTGCTTCCACGTTTCCGTTCAGCACTCCTATCGAAAACTTTGTGATTCGATCCTGACCATTTTAATTTGCACGTTGCATTATTAATATTATTTTTAATAACGATAAGTACAAACACCCAAGGGTCGCGTGAAGATTCACTCCGAGAATTGAAATAGTCGACACATCAATTTGCCACTTAACTTGATTTGCGTATCGACAAACAGTTGCACGGCGCGGCGTGCAACGCTGTGCAGTAGCTAACCATCGGATTTCCCAGACGGCCTAAAACAACCTGTGCCAAATACAGTTTAACACCGTTTGCATTCCAATGAGTAAGAAGCTCTCGAAATATTCCACGTTTTTTCACGAGTTGCGTTTCCTTTTACGAAACGGCATTTGAAAATTTCGCGTTCTGCGAAAGAATTGATCCAACATAAATAATTTCACGATGGAACGGTCGTTTAAACATTTTGTTTTCCATTACAAACAGAGCAACCATTCGATGGATTTGATCATGTAATACTTTATACCCTTGGAATTCGTGATAATTGCGTTGAACACCGCGTACAAGTTACCAGTATCCATAAATTTGTCCAGGTCGACGCAACTATTGGGACACGTTTAATCTCATCTCGATCCGAGCCCATTCGAGTACCATTTTCACAGGAGCAAAAGCCGAGACCTTTTCGAAGCTCGATGCGTCCCCCCTTTTATTTGAAAATGATACATAAAAGAAAAGAGTACGTTGTTTGAGTCCAATAACTTGGAATGGAGGGCAATAAAATTTGTGTCACAGAGGAAGCAGCGTCATCCAAGGGAAAAATAAAATTGACGAAATAGTGTAGAAAGAAGGGCGCGACAGGTCTCCGAAAACCCAGGCAGACCTGACCCAATTGGACGAGTTGGGGCGCGAGGAACGTCGCAATAAAACGGTTAGGTGACATGCCTGACGGTCCACGTCGGGCAAGGTTAAACGACGACCCTCGAACTTATAAATAACCGCGAAACATTCCCTCTCGGAGCAACGCGCTAGCTCCTACACAGACCATCTCCTTCGAACGATCGACGTTGCTCAGATCTAATTGGAAAACGTTAATTGGGGTCAGCCGGTTCCCACTTGATCCGTAGTTTTCCAGGCTTTCGCCTAATCGAGTACACCAAGTCGGGAACAACCCTAACGCGAGCATACGATCTGTGCAATGAAGAGAGGCTGATTCTCCGATCAGGTCCTCTCCAAGATAGAAAGAAGCATCGCCTACCTTTCAGATATCGCGACAATACGTGAAATGAATTTCAAACACTTTGAATGCGTGAAGTGGAATGCTTATTATTACGTTTTAATCGACGTTAATATTCCACTAGCTTTTGTTTCGAAAATTCTATGTAGTCTATCGTGTATTTCTCTCTCATCGACGATAAGCGCTGCTTCTGATTCTCGAGAACGTAATTAAATTTCACGACGCTTGGTACGTGTAAATTTAATTAGCACCTCGCTAAGCCTTATTAAATTCGACATGCGGCTAAACTCTCGGCTCGACTAATCTAAAGTCATTGAAACGAAATAATGATCTGCGCCACTCTGTCGAGGCCAATTACAACGGCTCTATCGGCGCGATCTTGTAATTAAATTTTATTTCAGTTTCTCCCGTATACTTCTTGTATTTACTTTTCGGAAAGAAAACTAATCAATCTGAATATTTACTTCAAGTTTCTCTCGTAAGTTTCATTCCTGAAGAGAGACTATCATTAAGAACGAAACACAAATAACGATATAACAATAATAATCGATTAGTTAAATAAAAATAACATTAATTAAATAAAATGTCTTTCTATCTCCTACGATAACAGTTTGCACCGGGAAAGGACGATTCTAGGACGACCATAGGACATTCGAAAACACCGTCGTTCGTGTTACAAATGATTATATTTCACTTTATGTTACAAAAAGAATTTCTAATGCGGATAATGTCCCGTCAGTTGAATAACGTTTAACACCAGGCACCTACGGATGTGACCTGAAATCAACACGCCGGCGCCGTTTACACGTTCGCTTTCTCTTCCCATTGTAAATAAGTGTCGCTGAACATCTACTTACTTAATATCTACTATCGATAATCTACTTAACACGACTGACGCTCTCGTCTGATTTAGTAGGTATCTCGATAAACGTGCAAAGAACTTGCATGTCCGCTACGGTTGGTTTTCTATTTCATCGGTCGCTACGGTACAACTGTTTTACGAGTAGTTCAATTACGCTCGCCTACGAAGAAAATATACGTGGTTGCACGGAAATATAAATTGTCATACTCAACTCGCCATACGTTTGAAAATTGATCGTGGCGTAATACTAATGTGCATTTACAGTATTTACAATGATTTTGGGTCCTCGAGGCTCAAGTACATTTTCTGGCTGAAAAGAGCGAAATCTTCGAAAGCCGTTCAACGAAGAAGACGACATATCGTTAACTCTTTGCCAGGGAATCTACCGAAGGTCTCGATGTCGTATTACTGACCGAACGAACGGATGAAATCTATAGAGCTACACCAATCTCAGTTTCAATAAACTGAGACTGAAATTTTAGAATCAAATTAGCATAGCGCAAAAATGCGGATGTTGACATTTATGGCCTCGAGGTAACAGTCTTCGACATTGAAAGACGTTCGCGATGAGATGGCGAAAGATGGAATATTGAGAACAACAGTCGCTACAAAGGGAAGCGTAATGAAGGGAACCGATCAAGTGTTGGGATGTCTTCAATTTTCCGACTAAATGCAACATGGACCCTGTTAAAGTGCTAAACACGCGCAAACGTCATCGCAAACGTCGGACGTTTAGCGACACATGTATCTCGGAGCGCACCATCGCACCGGTTAATTTTCCACGGTCAATTAATAATTCCAGCACAAGTGACGCAGTCGGTTAAATCGCTTATCCTACGCCATTACAGCTAGTCTTACTCGACACTCGAGCGTTTTTTACTCCTAACGTTCATGTAATACGTTCTAAGTTAAACGCACACCACTGCCAGAAACTCGATTAAAATTGGGACGCAATCATAGCTTTTACGGAAGCCTTGAGCAAATCTACCTGCCACAGTGTTCTCGATACTATTCTATGTCTATGGTATCCTCTGGTAGGTAGACTCCGAAGTTTTATTTCTTAATAATCCTTTTACTCGACTTTTGTTTTCTCTTCCTTTTATATCGAATGGTTTCGATCGTACAAAATAGAACAAAATGATGATACGGTAAGCCCAACCAACATTATTCGGTGGATAATTTATTAATATTTTGTAAATCTACCTTTCTCCTGCAAAACTTTAACCAAACGTTTTGGTATCGACTCGTACAGTTTTTTTTAATAAAATTTATGTGGACTACCATTTTGTCCCACGCTGTACCATTCTCGCGAATGTAAAAATATAATGGTACTTTTTTCGATACGACGTTAAACAATACCGATCGCTTAGATCATTTTTCTCTTAACCGTATAAGCTCGATGAAGAATAGAGAGAAGGAAATGTGCAGCCTATTATTTTCTATCGGGCACAAGTTCGCGGCAAGCCGAATCGGTAAGTTGTTTCTTTACCTTTCTAATGCTTCTAAATCTTACAATTGTTTAATGTTGGTGTTATTGTCAACTACGAAATATCTTATTATATTATATTATCGAATCGTGTAAATAATTTCCTCTTTCAATGATATTTATCTCGATTCTATCTAACGAGTGCTTCGAAACATCGAAACAATTTTTTTCAGCCGCAAACATTGTACACCATCTAAAGAAGCAAACAAGAAAGACTTATGGACGATAGGAGTTACAAGATCCAATTATCTTCTCCTTTGAAATAACAATACGACCGATTTTTTTTCTCGAATAATACCATTTGTAAAAGAAAGGACAGATCACACGGATTTTCTTTTCCGAGTCAATTTCAACGGAGTAACGTCTAAGAAGAGTGTCGACGATACATATTGTATAACACGAAGGAACTTTGCGAAGGACGTCACGTGTGCGAAGGATAGCACGATCCCTCGAAAGGACAGAATATCTTTGGCAGAAGTCATTCACAGCTTTGCGCTTTGGCGACTGAATTTCGTTCGTTTCATCTCGAGTTTAATTCGTAAAAATAATTGGAAAGAAAGATCGAAAACCCAATTATCTTCCGATATGGCATTGTACATATATTAAAAACGAAAAATTCGTGTTTACGTTGAAAACGAACGGTTTCAAGTCGCTGTGAACAGCGCGGACGGCAAAGGCAAAAGGTCGAGGACGAATTTCTTTACATCAAGGACGAAGTCAGAAGAGGAATACAACTAATGGCATTGAAGAGAGTAATCGAGAAACTAAAGAATTTCTTCATCTGTTCGTTCCTGGCAGTGGCGCGAGAGTTAGGGAAGGGACGGTGGTTTGAGACTGGCTCGGTTTATGGACACAAATTACAACCACCTGTGTCTATCGCTTTCAATCTAACCAAATAAACGTTTCAAGTACGGAAAAATCGAAATATTAGCAGAACTTTTCTTTCTTAACATTCATCTTGGATACTCGACAGATTCCAATAATAGCAAAACGTAGGAAATGAAGGATAAAACAAACATTTAATCTCCAACTTTTATTCCGATCCTTTTCAACTAATATTGTATTAAAACTGAAATTAGGGAGAAGAAATCGTAAACGACCATTTCCGCTTCTGATTAGAATCATAGACACAGGTAATAGAATAACTATATGGTATAAATATAATAATAGCGACAACTAACCAATCAATTGACAGTTAATGAACGATCGATAAATTCTCTTTAGGTACTCATCTGGATTCCGCGATGAAGCCGACAGCAATATCGCAATAATCAATATACAATTGTAATATTGTTGACGATAATAATAAAGATAATAATACCAATAGTACTAATAACAAATTTGATTAAAGACGGTTCACGATAATCGTACATGGTTACATACAGCTGCAGGATACACTTCGTATAAAAATTTCACCATAATTCAATAAAATAAATACTATTCTAATAGAAGCGTAAGTTCGCCAAACCTAAAATCTATATAATAAATGTTAATATTCCTTTAAACATTTGAATACAACAAATGTACAAATCCAAAATGAGTTGAGTTATTTAACAAAATAAAACAAAGCTGTAAAATATATCCTATCTACAAAAACGTATTATACGAAACTGCATTCAAATATCCTGCATAACGTACCAAGCACATCATGCTTGAATTTTTAAGAAAATACACACACGCGCACTAGCACTCACTTCAGTAATCAAAATTCCAATTGATTAATAAGTATTAATGGATTTTCCAGACATTAGACGCGCATTAAATTTTTTTTCCTGTAATCCTTGTGTATCGGTACAATTGAACGTCACGCTACTGTTTTATGCTCTCTAATTTTCTTTTCGTTTACTCATCTTTAAAACATTCTGCCCTAACAGAACAAAATGAGAAAAAATTATACGCAGAGAGCAACAGTGAAATTAGTTTTATGCTAATAACAAATGTACAAATCAACAAACGTGTTGTATTTAAAGGACAGAGAGTGAATGTAGCGTGTATATTCACGAATAATATACAAATATACAGCTAATTCTGACTGCAATCCATAATTAATCCTGCGCTTGTTTCACATATAGCTGCACCAAATCTTACAAAAGGAGATCGATTAATATTATGCATTGGTCGATATCAAAACCGTAGCTGCTGGAGTAATCAAACGAATAGTTGAAATAAATATAAATAGATATATAAATTAATAACAACTAAAAATATAATAAATTTATGTTGAATACACGATTAGAATAATAAGAAGCTGCCAAAAGATCAATAAAATTGAATTAAAGCCTATTTAGGCCAAGTTCCATGATAAGACTATACAAAATTCTACCTCCCAGAAATAATTAAATTATAAAATACTATGTTATACTAACCTGCTAAAAGAGTAACAATGCCATATAGCAGAAACGTTGAAGAAATCACTTAAACGAAAAGTAAAAGGAATAGATGTAGACAGTGAAACATTATCGCAATTGAATTATGTTTATCTGAAAATCTACTCGAAAAATGGGTCCCTAATTCTGTTACTCTCCTACTCTGTACTCGTCAACTCTACACGTCTACGATGTCCGATTCTACTTTGATTATAAACGCTACTGCCGAGCACAATGATATTGTCTCTATGGTATGTAATGTAAAATTCTTTTTTTTTCTTGTTCGTCCATCTAAAAACAGTACATATTCATTTTATCATGCATTCCCATGAATACGAAAAATTTGCATCGATCTTATATAATTATTATAACCATTCGATTCAACCATGCAGAATGTTCTCTATGCGGTTACAACGATACTTAGCATCGTATTGGAACATGTAAATCTCACTACAAAGAAATATGACTATTTCTAAACTGTAGAAATAAACACATACACAGTTAACGTATCTTCATTAAAAAGAAAGTGTAATCGATTAAAAATCAATTGATTGAATATCGATGAGCGTATTATTCACAAGAATTATTCGAGTAATCCATCTGTGAATATATCTTTGAGCACAGAACGTTTCGTTTTGATTCCGTGCCAATCGCTCGAAACAAAAATCCTACAACGAAAACGCATTTTATGCTTGTCTGGCATCTTTACTAGTAACATTGGTAACAGAAGGCAGAGCTTCCTAAAAACCTCTACGATATGGAGCAACATCGATGCAAGAAAATGAACATTTCAAATCTTTCAAAACATTTTGCCCTGCATCAGTCAATGGAATAAAAAACTTCGCTTTCCAAAGAAGATCACGTCTGTCTTTTAGCTTACTACGAAACTGTTGTTATCTGTTCAAGTTTTGTAAAAATATGATCGTGACATAGTACAAGAACAATCGTGTACACTTTCTATTCTATACAACGAAATACCTGGCGAAATATTTCAAACAAATATATGTAACGTTAAATTGTTTTTCGGGGAATACCCTTAAAAGCTTTTGGTACTCACATAATTTGACCATGAGCAGTAAAAAATTGAAAAGTTCAAAATCTTTGGTTTCCTCAAAATATCTTGCTCCACATCTTTATCATTTTCTAGAAGAAATCTCTGCCTAGATGAGGACGGTTCGTCTGTTGTGACAATCGCACTCTACCTCGTCCATTCGCACTGGCGGTATGTCTTCGAGTATTTCGTATCTCTCGATCAACCTCTAATTCTTCCAACTTCATTGTCAGACCAAGCTTCTGCTGCACCGCAAGCCGTAGGAGTTGATTCAACGTTTTCCTATCATCTTCCGCCGCCGCAAGCTGACGCTGGAGTTCATCAACCTGAGTTACGTATTCTTCGCAGCGTGCGGCAAACATTGCACGCAAACCTGAGGAGTGGGGTTAGCAAGTATTAACACCAGATACGAATAAACATGTAATATGAAAATTCGAGATACCTATTTGTTAAGTATAAATGAAAAACTAACAATTTACATGAAAAATCCATTTATAAATTAGTAGGTACCTTCGATGAATGCTTTTAATTTTGCGTTAGAATTTTATATACTTTAAGGGAATGTATTACTGGTAGAACATTAATTAGTGACAAAACAATATCGTTGATAGCAAACTCCTAATGCAACCGAAAAATCAATTGTAGCGCAACCCGTTAAAAGCAGTAAAATATACATGAATGCTGATAATAATTGTTAGTTTTACATTAGTATATTAGTGTAACGATGTTAGTAAAACAAAAATAGAAAAAAGAAAATAAATTAACTACATCTCATCAAATTGATAGAAACTAATTATATCAAATAATAAGTTTAAAAAATATGTATAAACGGTGGCTCGAATATTTCAAGTATAAAGATATAACTTACTCGAGAATGTTGCAGCATTTTCTTTTAGCATCCTTAGCTCATGTCTTAGTTTCAACATGGTTTCGTTAACAATACTCTTTTCGTTTTCATATTTGCTCTTCAAATTTGTAAGTGCCACTTCTGCTGTGTTCTTATTCGACTTCAGCACTGTTCTCAAAGTTGCAATTTGTTCGCGTTTCGCTGATAATAAAGCCTTCAACCTAATCACTTGTTCCTGCAAGTCGGTTACTTCCGCCTTGTTCTCATTTACGGATCCTATAATTTGCAATGAGAATGAACGTGGAATATGTCATAAAGAAACGAAATAAGCAAAAACAAATTTTATCACAAATTGTTAAACTTACCCTCGCAAACGTTGCAAACGTTCGATTGTATCCCCTTGACTTTCGAAAGTTCGATTGTATGTTCTACAGCACTTCTCAAATGTTTTATTTGATCCATCGCCGTTTCTATATGCTTCGCAATTTCTTTCGCTTTACTCAAACTTTCTAAATCTTTAATCTGAATATCAGTTTTAAACGAAGTCCTACACCATTCTATTTTTCCGTTTTCTTCTTCCTTCTCAGGAACAATCTTTTCATGGTCGAGAACTACACGCGAAGGAATTTCTCCGTTAACCGTACAAACGTGATGATAAAGTTGAGCAAGCTCATCAGAAATATTCTGTAAGTCGTTCTGTGCAGAGTCGAGGAAACCACCAGCTTCCATTGCGAGTTTTGAAAGAGTAGCAATATCGGATTCGAGTTGTACACTTCTTTGTTCTGTATCTAGAAGCTGAAATGTAATAAATAATTTTTATCCTCGTGTCCATCTCATTTGTTATAAAGTTACTATGTTTGTCATTTATTGCATATTCATTGGATGTTTGCATTTATCAGCATCAAAACTTTCATTTTAGAAACAGATTTCATATTTTAGGAAAACAATGCTTCACAGCTGAAGTAACTTTGCAAGACTGTACAGAATAATATACATATAAAATATCTGTTTGAACGTCGTGCAAACAGGCTCCGCGAGTCTGACTCATGCTACGTTAGATGCAAGTGAAACGAGTAGAAGGATAGTATCCACTGAGTTTTTGTTCCTAAGCACATTCTATTTTAAAGCCGCAGTGCATAGCGATCGAGATCCGTACATTTGTTTGAGCACTTGATAACATTCGTATAGACGACGATGTATCAACCCATTTGTGAAAACAATATGTTGGTACACGCGTAAATCATAAATATTTTCACAAAGGAGTTTACGATTTAAGAAACGATAGTATGTTCGTCAGTAGCTGTAGCAATATGTATAGTTAAGAATTTGAAAATATCAAAAGCAATACAAGATGGGTTGTTAGGACACTAAAAAGCAATCTGTACGAATCATTAAAGGAGCCAAAAGACAAATTGTTATTAAATAATTGGTAAATACGTCAAAGGGACCACACGTTCCAACCTTTTCTCGAAGGCTCTTCTCTGACTCAGGGATCTGAAACGCCATAATTTCTATTCAAAGTCTAAATTTCGAATATTAATCGTTATTATGCCAGAGTCACAGTTTATTATATTCTCGATATCTCCACGTATTAAGCGATTGTCAGTGGAAACTTACTAAATTAAAGACTTACATTTTTGTTCTTCGTCATATTTGCCGCAATAATGCTGTTTATAAATTTATGAAATGTAAAGTTTTATATAAAAATAAATAAATATTTACATACCTTATTTCTAAGATTTGTTAATTCTGTTCGCAATTGTTGCGTCGAGTCGGATATGGTTAAACCATTTTCTAATTCGGCTAAATCCTTTTGAAGTTGATTCACTTCACGCGCTGACATACTACTCCATTGACGATATTGCATGATGGCCTAGAATAAAACATAAAATAAATGAACATGCTGTACGTCAAAATTTATATATTGTATATATCTCTTCCATTAGAAATATTGTTTATAACATACTTGATTTAACTTATCCAATGTTGTTTCATCTGTTTGTTTTTCAGGCAACTTGGAGTGAAGGTGGTGTAACGATTGTACGTGAGCTGCTAATTGCACTATGCGCGCAACAAAAGATTGTAATTCATTCTGACTTTTCTCAACGGCATATTGCGATTCCCGTAAATTTTGTGTAAGATGGGTCTTCTCAGATTCTGCAAGCTCTAACTGTTTTTCTAATTTCTTCAGTTCGTTTAAGTGGATTTCAGAGAACAAATCAACCTGTTTGTCAGTGGCGGAAGTACCCGGTTCTTGAGTTTTTAAATCTGCTTCGATTCTACGTAACGCGGGAGAATCATCTTCCCCGTCGCTGCATATCGTTTGGTCTTCCGTAATTCCTCTAATCGAAAGTGCAAGATTACTAAGATTATAAATCGACTCGCTATTAATTCTTTGATCTAATTCCTTTTTAAGTGCATATTTTGCTTCGCGTTCAGCTTGTAAAGATTCGAGTGCTTCTTCCATTTGCTTCTCTGCAATCTTTTTTAAATTCGTTAATTCTTCAACTTGACTATTTAGAAGTTCCACTTCTTCGTTTAGTCTTCTTATTTCATGTTTGGCACCTTCAAATTCCACTTGACTGGATCGTAAACCAGATACCTGTTTTTGCAACGAAATGTTTTCATCTTCCAATTCTGAATAATCTTGAAGAAGTCTGGCTTCCCGAAATCTACATTCACGTAACATAGTACGTAAAGATTTTCTGTCAGTTTCTGCTTGTTGATGATCTTTCCCAACTTCTTCTCTTTCCTGGAGCGCATGATCACGCTCTGCTTGCACACGTTCCAGTTCGTGACGTAACTAAATAAGACATTATCAAATGAGGATACACATACGCTAAAAAATTATCATTTTCTCATGTTTCACTAAAAATAAAACACATACTTGCTTAGTTTCATTTTCTAATTCGATAATTTCCGTTTGAAGAGATGTTTCCCGTGCTGCACTCTCATGAAGGAGACTCTCCTCTTGCTCTATACCACTTTTTGTTGTCAGTTTTGTAGTTGTCTGAAACTTTGCTAAAGCCTATTGAGAAAAAAAACTGTTTTACATATTCTTCCTTACTTTATGTTAACGAATACTTTGTTGACTTTACACGTTCTATTATGTTATCGGAGCACAATGTAATTATGGTAATAAATACATACCTGTTCGTGATAAGAATATTTCGTGACACTTAACACTTCAAAGTAAAATCAACATTTGAGAAGAAACTTCTCGGAAGCTGATAATGAAAAAATTCACAAGCATCGAAATATGTAAAGTAAATCGAACTAACCTCCTGTGTGATTTCCAGTTCATGTTTCGTATTTTCGTACAGAGCCTCGAGATCGTTGCATCTTTGTTGTAAAGCGGACTTTTCCTCAAGCAAAGCAAGACCATATTTAGCGGATTGTACCTTTTCCGTAGAAGCTAAATCTAATTCTCGTGAAAGTCTCTCGATCTCGATACGGAGGTCCTCTATCGTAACACTGTCCGTCGTGGCCATTGCTGTCCAATATCACTTCACTCCTTTCCCCGTCGAATGTTTCCTCGTCGTTACCGCAAATATATCGGAACATCGGCAACCGTAATATGTTTTGAATGCAAAGACATCATACGAAAATTCGTAACGCGATTTTCTCAGCGTTTCCACTTGCCAAAGCCTTACATTTTTCGAGAATTCACGACCGTTTGACAGACGTGAAATAAAGCTGAGAGTGCACGACTGGCACGAACGAGTAAAATCAGACACGACGAACCGGATGGATACATCATACATCATACATCTTTCACATATTCCGTGTTCCTAGTTTCGTTCCACAATTCCACCGTTCCGTTCTCATACGAATACAGACAGGACTGAAACTTTTATACGTAAACTTCCTAAAAATAGAAAACATGCTTATTTTCGCTCTCTGAAAATTATTATTTATAATATCTAACACAAATTAATCATCCAAAAATCCAATAAATATTGTTAGTTCGTTTAGGTGGTTCAAATTTTTGTCACTAAAACCGATAACCATCTAGCGGTGAATAGATTGAACCAATCTTAAACTTACAGCTGGCGCCATCAATAGTAAAAGTAAAACGCCTAAATTTAAATTTATAGCAACATAGTTTTCAGTCTTAGAGGTAATAAAAAAAAACACAAACAGTACACACATAAATTTATTTAACATATAAAAGTAAAAAAATATTTGTAGATCATTAATAGTTCACTATATTGCTCTTTTCTTCTTTAAGAACTGTTGGTACATTTAGTCTTCGCTATCTAAAATAATTAATTTTTATGCTAAATCTTTATTCTTATGAATGAACATCTTATCACTGATGAAATTTACCTGAATAAGCACTTTCAAATGTATTACGACTATAATTAAAGTATAGATTAGGATGATCGAAAGTACTATGTGTAATACAGTTGTGAGTGATCTCAAAGTATTTCTTACATGCTTCAAGATAATATCCTCCTCGTGAGAGTTGTATTACTGATTCTCTATCTGCAATGTTTAAAATTTCTTCGAATGTTCTCCCATAAGAAAAAACATTAACGTGTTTACCTGACGAAATTAATCCACTTTTGTGCAGTGTATTCTTAAGTACATCAGGTGACATACACTTGAATGGACAGCCATGCTTATCTCGAACCCCGATAGATGAATTCTGTATTTTAATACAGTGAAAAGGTTCGTAATTCGCTCGTTTTCCTTCTTGTCCATATAGATGCCGTACATTGTACCTATACTTTTTTCGAAAAGTATTTTCGTCGATTTTTTTCGTAAATTCATTTTTCATAAATTCTAATGCATCATTCAAACTCAGTCCTATTCCTTTAAGGAATAGGATATACTGAACTCTACCACCATTTGTAAGGTGATGATTTTCTTTCAATGCTTCATGAAGAACTCTCATGCACAATGGGTAAGATGTTGTTGACAACTACAGAAAAAAAGTAGTAAATTAAAACAAGTATTGAATATTTAAAAAATTATTAAAAACTGAAACATACCTCATCTAGTTCACCAATAGATACTTGTCTGAGGTTATTACTCTCAAAGTTTCTAATACTAATACAACTTGAAAGTACACTAAAAATTTTCGATAATCTTTCATCACCATAAACATTTGCTACAACCTCTCGTGAATACTAAGATAATATATAAATTCTAGAAATATAATGTTCTTTTTAGAATTATCTAGTCCCTTATTATTATTCTATACTCACTGCAAATCCCTCATTTAATTTCTTTTTAAATTCTGGAATAATGAGCCAAGGCATTTTTGTTTCTGGTACATAAGCCATGCCATCCTTTAAAAATATTTTTCGTTTCTTGACTGCATTTATTACTCTAGTAAAATGTACTTTATAAACATTTATATTGTCAATATGTTCAGTGTCATAAGATATTTTTACATCTTCAATGATATTTTCTTTTTCTTCTTCCGAGATCTAGAAACAAAAGCTTGTTAACAAATAGGTATAGCATATATGTTTCATCAGGCATACAGGTTCTGTTATCAACATGTATAATTTTATGTTGATATCTTTATATAAGTATACTAACAGCATCGTATTGCAATCCATTAGTGCAAATAAATGCTTTTATGTTATCTTTATCCAACAAAGACAACCTCCACCTGAACAATTTTAACTCTTGTCTGAAGAACCATAATCTCTTTTCATGTTCAAAGGAGAATGCAGACCTTAATATTAAGTGTGATATGCAATCATTTCTTCTTAAATACTGTTCTGTCTCTCCCTCAGACTTAAAGTTATGCAGACACACAAGTTTTTCAAAATTATGAAGCTCGTTATTTACCAATTGTTCAATCAATATAGCTACATAATCTTTGGATGCTTTTATTTTATTTTGATTTGATATCTTCTCTACTAATTTCAAAACTACACAATAAGATAAATAACATAGAAATAATCATCTTACTTTTAATATTGTAGACTATGTTTTTTATTTTCTGCAACTTGTACTAAAATTTAACTATTGTATACAATACAACAACAAAATTAATTACCGTTTAGTCTATCAACACACCACTGCTGTAATTCTTCTAATTTAATCTCTCCAGATGGTAGTACAGAGTACATTTGTAAATTGTGTGGAAATACATGTTCGGAAACCTTGGGTGCAATCTCAATATTAAGATGACGTCTAATTGGTGTACGTGCCATATTTATTAAAAAGAAATCTAGAAGATATGCATTGTAAGAGAAGTATCTTTACATGAGAAATCGACGACCTGAGTTCATGTGAAATTTCAAGATGGATTTGTTGCTAAAGACCATTATATAGAAATTGTGCTTCCAATTACTTGAAGAATGGTTTATATTAATTTTCTAAGTTATAATATCATTTCTAATATATTTATAAATCAAAAAGTTTTGTACATTTTGCAATTTGAGGCTTCCTTACGCGATATAATCAGTTAAAGTTTCCTGTTGACTCTCGACACGTGCTATTTATATCTCACAAGGGGAGAATATATGTATACATATATATATATATATATATATGTAGTTGATTACAGAGTCACCGATTTTAAGGGGCTTCTAAATACGAAATCTCTATGTGCCTAACACTTTGTTCGACAAATCTTTATAAATTTGTTTTATACAGATTCCAACTTTTTTTTTCATAAATCATTGCTTTGTAGATTGTTAATCCAAAAATTACAAGAATATACAGTATTATGCATACGAAGATAACCTCATAAAATTTGTATGATTTTCAGGCTTGACGAACGACCTTGGTTAAGTCCTTTACTTTTTCTTTCTGTTCTATAATTTTAAGTTTCATAAAAAATTATGAGATTTTGTCAGCTTTCATTTAAAAGAATGTATAGTGGCCACAATTGTTTGATATACATACACAGGTAAAGTCTAAGGGAAAACAATTTCTCTAAAATAGAAATATTTATCGAATAAAAACGTATTAAATAAATTCTTTTTTCATGATAACATTACATTTTATAGTAAAATTTGGATGTTACAGCATGTGAATCTGTAAACCATCGCAAAAGTTACGAACTGTTTGTTTAAAAATAAATACCACATTATAGTATATGTACAAAAGGATTAACAACTAAAAGGGAAAGCATACATTTACATTTTATTAATAATCGACCTTCTTTTCCAACTGAAATATAAATAATACATATGAAGTATCTTATATCGTACACCTCCTTATTCGTAGATGCCAGTAATAGATAAGCATGTGGGGAACAGAAAAAAAACAAGACCTCGTTTTTGCCTCTCCGTACACATTCTATTTCAAAAATTCAGTTTAAAAACATAACTTCAAATACTCCGCAATCCTTTATTACTTTGTAGCTTATTTTTCCTCTTCATCCTCTTCATCTTCTTCCTTTAAGTATTAATAGATTAATATAAGTCGAGCTGTGATCGGTCATGCACCGATCGAATTAGTTCATACACTGTAACAGTCGTATTCTTTACAATATTCGTACGTAAGTCTTGTAGCAGAGACAAAAGCGCAGGTGCCCTATCGCACTCATTTTTTATGCTCATCTGAACCTCCGGTGCCACCAATGAACCCCATACCTAAATCGTATAATTCCAAGTATGTTTTTCCCTTCGATACCCTACATAGTAAGACATCGTTTTTGCACGATACATCATACATCCGTGTATATGTATGTTCAAACTGTACAACATATTAGTCAAAGAAACAAAGGAAAATGTTTACACGGATTCTCGAGCTTTTCTTCAAATTACGCATCCAATGAGAGCACCAAAGGTTACGGTCCATTAGCGAAATACAATTTTTGATCCTCCAAATCTCGTCAGACGCACTAACGCACTGATTACTACTACCAAAACCATGTATGAGATCGGTTTAAGTCCCGAACAGTTAAGTGTATAAAATTGTTGCAGGACACCTGTACTACACAATATAACGCACATGGCGTTTCAGTTCCACCGAGTCAGGCACGCCTGGCTTCTGAACAGTAATACACATTGTCGCTGCTGGCAAAAGTATCGGTATCGAGTGTACTACGTGGATCATCAACACATACATAACGACGCGTTCACGCTGGATCTATCTAGATCGAATCAAGATCTCGTTAATTCAAATTTAATCACTCGTTCGTCGGAACGAATCACAAAGTATCAGGACTTGGATTAATTTATACTCCAACATTGCTCATGTTTATAAACGCAAAGTGACCATAAAATTTTCTGTAGTCTATTTTGCTTCCTATTAGACTTATATGTTCTCTCTCTCTTTTTAAGAAAATTCTTTAGTATCTTTGTACTTGTAGTAACCTATTGATTTCTCCTAGTTCAGTGTTCGAAGACGAATATTCTAATCCTTTAAATTCACTTTTGTTTTTTTCATCATTTCATGATTTTTAACAACCGTTTAACAAAAAATACTAGATAAATCGAATCTAAAAAATTTCGTTCGTTCGACAACTTATAAAAAAAAGATTAGTGCCATACTTCATACATGAAAATATAATCTTTTTTCTGCGACGTATAAATAAAAGAATAATTGGAATTAATCACCAGCAACGACCAGAGTATATCTAGCTTTTTACAGTACAAAATACAGCTCCTGCACATACGTATGTATATATGTATACACATATGTGCATATATATACATATACATATACCTAGTAACGAAATATTTCAGCATATGTAAGGATATAGTAAGGTGAAATGCAACTGCATTCTTCAAAGTTCGCAACAATCACTGACAATATGAACAATGGTGACTCTCGGTATAACGATTATATTTTTACGTACAAAATGTGCAAACTTGTATAGACTTCTGTGTTTATATGTATATATACATATATACGTTGCGATGACGATCATACCGGTGCTTGCATTCATTTTCACTTAAAGAATCTGACATACAAAGCATACTTATTTTGTCCTAGTTTATCAGAATCTAAAATAATATTTCAAGTATAGTTGTATATAAACTCGTAAACACTGATAATCCTACAATTGTGCAGTTCTTGTTGACGTTCGAAACTAGGTTTGTTATGAGATAATGGTTCAACGATCCTCATTACATCCTTACACATAAAAAATTGGCGTTACTAAACTTTATTTATATGTATTCAGGGCCGGCATGTTCATTTCCTTTCCCATTAATTCTGAATTGTTTTTTCTCGAGTTGCTAGAGAGTTCGAGAGGGAGGACCGGATACAAGATGCGTGGATTGAGAAAGGAACAGAGTTTGACTCGCGTCTCGATTTTTCATACTCATCGTATCCCTCTCTTACGTAAATAATGTTAACTATCCTTTCGATTTGATCATCTTTCCAGTTTCGATATGAATCACCAACAAGTGTAATGTACTGTCAGTCGAGCTGACAAAATATGTCATAAATGATGACCTTACAAAATTTTTATAAAGTATATGAAGAATCCATACATCTTGCATCACAAAACAATGCGCGTACGAGATAGTTTGAAGGTCAAGGGACAGAGGATTCATGTCTCTACTCTAATTCAATCGAATGTTTATAATATTATTACATCGTATAGTGTGTGTATTCATGTAATGCTTGGATGTGTCCTATGTGTAAATGTACTTTGTGCGCGCGCGCGCATGTATGGTGTAGTGTAACAGCAATAAAAACAAAGACATCATAAGAAAAAACCCTTGCGAAGAGAACAACGATGTATAGAGGGGAAGGAAACTAGGAATAAAATGGGCTTCCGGGAGTTGGGCATGGAGAGATAGAAATTCGAACGATTATGACGAAATGCGTTTGTAGCGATTATACGCATCAACGAAACATACGTTCGTATATCCCTACCTAGCTACAATTCCCGGTAGTAGCGCGCGCGACGGTAAACGGCTTATCGTTAAGCGAGCGGCACGGATTCCAGTTATATCCTACTTCCTTTCATCCTGATCACATTCACGGCTTATGTGACCAGTCTTGCCACAGATATAGCATGTCTTTCCTCCAGCCTCAGTGCAGTTGCGAGCGATATGACCTGTTTTATTGCAATTGTAGCAACTCTGCATCGCGAAACGTCCAGAATCATTACCGCCTTCTGGGCAGCTGCGAGCAATATGACCAGTCTTGTTGCAGTTGTAACAGCTCATCTCAGGCCCCTGTAGAAATCATTTCAAATTATAATACGATATAAGACTTGGTTAGTTTGCAATGTTATTATTGTTCTTATATTAAAATTTCTAATAACCTGTTGGCAGTCTTTTGCAATGTGTCCAACACCATTACAACGATAGCAAAGATCTTGATCTTCTTTGCATTCACGCGCAAAGTGTCCAAATTGGTTGCACTTGTAGCATTTATCACGACCACGTGGGAAACCACCTTCTCGGTCACGTCCACGGTCACCTCTACCACCGCCACCACCACCATGTGGACACTCCCGTGCGTAGTGACCCATCCGATTGCATTTGTAACAAGCGCTCGAACTCATTTTTAAAAAATCTGTAACAGCAAGTAATCACCCTTTCATGTCCAATTTTGAACGCATATACATGCATAAATTTCTTTATGGACGTGTAAATCAATTACATTGATAAAAATGAAAAAGTTATTTAAAAGTTTTAGTTAAAAAAAAAAAGTGTAGAATATTATACTAATATATAGAATTAGAAAATCTTTAAAATATTTAAAAGAATTTTTCGAATTTTTAATTATACAAGATGCCTAACAAAAGAGAAAGACAGAAATTGATGATTGATAAGTATACATATGTGATTGGACAATAAGTACGTATATGTATATCTAAAAATGACTTGGAATGAAGCATAGGGTAAAGTATGAAAAGTAAGGTATAGGAAACTATAAGAGCACGGAAGTAACTAGGGAAACAAAAAAAAATTATTTCCTTTTTCTTTTAGTTGTTGAAAAATATAAAAATCATGATTTATATACGTATATAATGCGAAGAAAAAGTACTTGAAAAAAATATATAAGTTACTTTAAACAAGAGTATAAAATGGCATCGTGCATCCATCCATACTCGAGAAGCACATAAAATACACGTGTCGTGATAGGCGTCGTGCACAAATATGCAAGTTCAGTATGAAAGATTTCGGTAACGTAACGATATTCTGCGGGAAGATTAATAACCGATATTCGACTATTTCTACATAAAACCCTCAGAAATTGCCGTCCATCGTACAACGTGGCTCTATCGCCCCCACTTTGCAGTGGTGGTACGCAAGTACGCCACGGCGCGAAGATGGCATCCAAGACTGACGCCGTACTGCGCTTTTTTTGCCTCACCAAAGAAAAGATCGGTCGAGGGCGAGGTACGTATGTACGGTGCACCGAAATGAAACGAAACGATCGACAAAAATGAATTTTCCCATCGAGATCGCAAGATGAAAGAAAATATTCCTTTATTGTATAACGAAAAATTGACTCTGCGAAGTCGAGGACCACGTGTGGAATTGCACAGAAAGAAACCGCGGACTCGAAATCACGGCGGCGTATAGCAGCGTTCTTTATTGGTGGAATAGCGACTTACCTCCGGTGCCTGGTGTATATGCACAATGAATCCTCCTTCCGTTGGGCTTCGCCGACGCGTTGGGGACAATGGGTCCGCGGGAAGTAGTGTTTTCCTGGGAAAACTCGAACCGATACTCAGCCGGATGACTGCGGCGACCATCGACTACGAGACGGAAGACCAACCAATCGTCGCTACGTTGCCCGCCAAACTCCCGTTGCAACTGTGACGACGATACCTCCCAAACTCACTACCAGAGGGCTACAAACACCAACCAATTACTCACAAATTTTTCGATAACCCCGAATTCCTTTAATTAGAAAATCTTTCTACATTCTGATGTGCCCGTGTCTAAAATAACGTCTATTAGATAAACTTTACTAACGAGTTCAACTTATTTATAGCAAACCTCGAACGAAATGCAACTTCCTCCTCCTCCTCCACCGTTCCTTCTCACCGTACTCCAAACACTAACTTCAGACTTCAGCCGGCTATACAACATAAACGCCACCTTTACTGATCAACTCAAATCTCGAAACCGACAACTTCCTTTAGGGAAGTTTTCATATCTTCTAACCTGATTATCAATTAAAGTATAATAATTTCATTAAAAATTGATTGATATCGAAATTAAATATCCTTGAAACTACATTATGTCTCTTTTCGACCAAATTGTCTTGCATTCGCAAGCATCGTAGATGAAACGCGTTTCAAACGTGCCAACCAAGTTTTATTGGAAACTACGAAAAGAGAAGTCCTGTTTTGGAAACAGAATTGCAATGGTATTTGCTCTACATGCAATTTTAAGAATTAATACGAATAATATTTGATATATGTCGTTACGTGACCATATATCTGTCGCTCATTGACGAACTTCATTTATAATTTCTCGATATATTGTATGTACAATGTACAAGTACACATAGTATACAGGGTGTCCCAAAAGTCGGGGAGAAGCCGGAAATGGGGGGTAGCTGAGACGATTCTGAACAACAATTTCCTTTGCAAAAATGTCGGATGGGGCTTCGTTAAGGAGATATTAAGCGAAAATCCCGACCAATCAGAGCGCGCGTAAACCGTTGGAGCGGCCGCGGTAGC